CTATTGTATTATCATTTAATCTTTTATAATTAATTACCATTCTACTTTTTCCTCTAATAATTTCTGAGTGTTTTCTAACTATAAAAGTTGCTGATCTATGTGGGCTTTCTGATTTTTTAATTACTCCTAATTTTAATAAATCTTTTATATGCATCTTAAATTCTTCCTGATCTTGGTTTGTAGTTTCAATATTTTTTGTCTTAATTATATATTCTGGATTTTTTATTTTTATTTCACAAAAAACTTTATCTTTTTCCCAATATTTTAATATATTTTCTCCTAAAATTTCTAATTTTTCTAATTTACTAATCATGTTTTCTATATCTTGTTCTGTTACTAACAAATTATATATTTTTTCAATTTCTACAAAATCTAAACATATTTCTTCTTCTTCCTTAAAATTTTCATAATATTCTTCTAAAAAATTTTTCAATTCTTCTTTTTCTATTAATTGACATTCTCTTTCTTTACAAGTTTTTGTTTCTCTGAAATATGTTTTAATTTTCTTTCTCTCCCGAAAGGAAAATTCTTAATGGTTCTTATTCTTAGATAGAATATTATCCCATAAAAATATGTTGTTTTAAAAACTACCGATGGATCATTCCGGTAGGTATGCTTTATAGTTCTAAGATATGGTACTAATAGTTAATATTAGTTCCAGATCTTGTAAGAACAATTTCTGTTCATAAAATTTTATTTTGTAAAAGTTTTATGATTTTTGTAAAGAGCTTTATGCTTCATACTGAGTATATGATAAGAGCATGTCTTAACTCCAAGTTAAAAGTTTAAACTATTTTTAAAATAAACCCTGAGTGACCTCTTAAAGCGTAAAGGCCCAGTGAAGAGGCTAGGAGACGCATAGAAGAGGGAAAGGGATCACTGTTTTAAGAATTCTTGTTAAGGGAGTGCCAGTGGTGTCCTTACAAGAATGGAGTTAGGCCTAAGTTCATATATCTCGGAGGCATGTTTTTTAAAAAAAAAAAAAAGGGATATTATTTTATCAAAAGAAAAAGATAACTCTCGAGCACAACCCCAACACGTTATCCATACCATCGACCAAAATTTTCCGTAGTCTCTTGAAGTTTTTCATCTTTATCAAATAACTTAAATCTACAAATTTTTTTGTCGCTCCGTGAAGATATTATTCCGTAGAACAATCAAGTAAATCCCATGGAACTGAGTAGATTCTATAGCCCTTGTTTGAACCCAATTTTCTTAAAATTTATTATTTTGAAAGCTTATTTTATATCATATATTCTCTTAATGAAATAATTTTATACATAAATCTAAATTTTTTTATAATTTTTAACCACACATTTTTTCAAAAAATCACTTCTTCAAAATCTATTAACCCCAAAAAATGGAGCTCAAATAAATGCTAATGTCACTACTATATAAAAAGGACAATGTTTCACTACTGTAGAAAGAACAGTAGATTCTTCCATTTTGTCTCACTATAGCTTTTTTTTTTTTTTAGAGAAAGCAACGACGTCGTTTATCTTATGTGTTTGATACAGTGACTTTGTTGCTTTTCCTCAATTTACGCGGCATGGGGGATTATGTCATAGAGCCCTATTTACTCTTCTCCATTGTTACACGTTACAGTCATGCCTCTCTATTTCTCCACACTAATTCAAGAGCAAAAGTGTGAATTCCATAAATATATAATTGAAAATATGTTTAAAGAAAAATAAATTTTAAAAAATGAAGATCAAACATGTTAACAAATGAATATATTTATTTTTTGAAAAATAAGTTTTTATTACCGTTTCGCTTTTATCGTGAAATGATTCTAATTTTAATATGTTAGATCGTGCTTCAAAATTATATAATTTATCAAATATAATTTTTAAAATTAATTTTTATAAAATAATCTATTTTTATGAATTTTTTTTTTTAGCAAAGTAATTTTTTTATTAAAGTAAACGGAGGCTCGTGTTGAGACCTCCAGAATTACGGAGGCTCAATCCTCCAAAATTCTGGAGGCCATGAGGCCTCCATGTTGAGCCTTCATAACATTTTATTTTTTAAAATTAATAAAAATTTAATTATTTTATATTTTTTAGTAATATTATATTTCACCTTCCAAAAAAAAAGATCATAAAAATATATTACTTTATAAAAATTAATTTTAAAAATTATATTTGATAGATTATGTAATTTTGAAGTACAATCTAACATATTAAGATTAGAATCATTTCATGATAAAAATGAAATGGTAATAAAAATTAATTTCTCTAAAAATAAATATATTTATTTGTTAACATATTTGGTTTTCATTTTTTAAAATTTATTTTTCTTCAAACATATTTTCAATCATATATTTATGGAATTCACACTTTTGCTCTTGAATTAACCCCCTCAATAAATTATTATTTAAACGGTTCGTTAACATTTTGATTGATATTATTTTTTGATCATCCAAATGGTTATTATATACTTTTTACATACGTTGTCCTCCGTAAATACGGAGGCTTGCACAAGGCAAGCTTCCGGATTACGGAGGCTGGGCCTCCATAAAGCCTCCGTATTATGGAGGCTTTGCTCCATAATATGGAGGCATTGCCTCCGTAATATTTTTTTTTAATATATACTAAAATTATTATTTTTAAATGTTGTTGGTATGATGCGTGTATGGAATAATATTTGTCAATCACCATGAGCAAATTTTTTCACAAAATGTAAAAAATAAAAATACATAATAAATCTTCTTATTATGCTAATAAAATTACAATAATTTTTTTTTACAAATAATATAAAAATTTATTTTTATTTTCAACAAAAAAATACATTTAAAAATTAGTAATTTCATAATCACTTTTTTTTATTTTATTTTCAAAAATACAATTATAAAATAAAAAATAATTAATTTTTTAATATAATATGCTTAACAAATTACGGAGGCTCAAGTATGAGCCTCCATAATTACGGAGGCATCGGCATGAGCCTCCATAATAGTGATGCCTCCATTTTGGGGGCTCAAGACATGAGCCTCCATTATGGATCCTAATGCCTCTGTTACACAGAGGCTACTACTTTACTTAAAAAAAAAAAAAAAAAAAAAAAATTATAAAAACAACTTACTTTATAAAAATTATATTTGATAGATTATGTAATTTTAAAATACAATCTAACATATTAAGATTAGACTCATTTCATGATAAAAATGAAATGATAATAAAAACTCATTTTTCGAAAAATAAATATATTCATGTGTTAATAAATAAAAACATTATTTTTATATATGTACGTAAAAGGTATATAGCAACCATTTGGATGACCAAAAAATAATATCAATCAAAATATTTATGAACCGTTTAAATAATAATTAATTGAGGGGGTTAATTCAAGAGCAAAAGTGTGAATTCCATAAATATATGTAAAAAAAACCACTTAAAGTTATTTAAAAGTAAAAAAAAAAACTTATAATTGTAAAAATTACTTGTAACTTAACAATATATTAACTTAAAAATTTGGAGTAAATATTTAGATATATTTAATTTTTAAAATTAAATATTAACTTATATGTTAAACAAATAATCTATAAATAAAATATCATTTAAATAAAAAAAATTAAAGGAATCTCTCCATATTTATTATGAAGACTTGATCTCTCAATGAGATCAAGCCTCCGTATCACGGAGGATTTTCTTTCGTAATATGGAGGTTTGTTATGAGAGATCAAGTCTCTTGTTATGGAGAGATCAAGCCTCCGAAATATGGAGGATTGAGACTTCCAAGCATAAAGACTAATTTTTTCTTTAAATTTGTTTATTAGTAATATTTTTATTTGTTGATATTTTTTGCTATCACTATTTTATTTCCAACAATCACTTTTATGTAAGAAATTATCAACAAATAAAAATACAGACAAAAAATATTTGTAAAATGTAAGAAGTTGCTTAGAAGTAAAAAATCTACAATTTTGACGCTAATAAAAATACAATAAATACAAAATTCGTGCAACGTACGTGTCAATGACTAGTAAATAGAAATGATCTCTTATCCATGGTATATAGGAGTATCTTGTTCACTACTGATATGACATTACAATTTCTGACAATTTAACATTGAATTGTCAAAAATTATAAATTTGATCGTTGACATGACATTGTCACATTACCAGTGGACATATTTTATCATACATACCATGGGTAGGAGATCATTTCTAATAATTTGAAACGGGAAATGAAGAAATAATTTAAATTAGGAGCACTGAATGTTGTTCGTAGAAAAATTAGGAGTACCGAATGAAGCAATATTAGTAAAGGAACGGAAGAAAACACAACATATTAATGTTCAAAATTTGTTCTCTCTCTTTTTTTCTTTTTCTTTAGAAAAGAGATAATTCATCAGAAAATTAATTAAAATTAAATATTGCGAATAAAATTCTGAAAAATACTCTGCTTTAGATAAAATTCAAGAAGTTTCGACAAAAAAATACACTTCCAAAAGAATAAAAATTCAAATGTTGTACACCAAAACAAGGCACTCATGGAAAATTACAAGAATAAGGCACTTGTAAGGGCTATACAGAAAAGGAAGAAAAAAGAAAAAGGGGGAAAAAAAAAAACTCTCAAAAGAATAAGAATTTCAAGTCTCGAGAACTCATAACTACTGTTTTCAACACTTACGGTGAATAAAAATTTTGAAGTCTGAACTTTAAAGAACTCACAACTAATGTTTTAAACACTCGCGACGAGCTGGGCTGTCATGGAGGTGACAGTTATGACTTGGTGATATGTAAGAATAGTCGAGAAATTGTGCAATATATTAGGATAACGAAGATGATCAATGTTCTAATTTTTATTTTTCTTCTTTACATAAACTTCAAGGCAAGACATTTCAAGCCATATTGAAGGTTAGTTTGGATGAAACTATTATCAAGGGGTTAATTTGTTAAATGTTAAAGATATAAATGTTAAGAAATAAAGGTTGAAGATAGAAGTGAGAAAAGGTAAAAGTTGGAGACAACATGCGCAATTTAATCTACATTATTTTCTTGTAAAATACACGACGCGACGCAACGCAACTTTAGTACGCCTCAAAACCCTAATCTTCAAACTCCATTCCACTCTCGACTCGAATCTCTCGGCGCTATCCGACCTACGGTAAACTCCCAATTTCAATACCTGAAAAATTATCGATTTAATTTATAAGATTCTATATCTCAGTTATAAAGCAGTGCTAGTAATTCGGCAATTAATTTCCTAATTGAGGCCGCCAACCGTGTACTACTTTTTTCTCGCTATTCTTATGTATGGTATCAGTCGAGGGAATTTTTTTAGATAAATGTTTTATCGATCAATTTCTTTTGCTGATTTCGAAAACGGATTGTCGATGATTACGTGGTGCTGTTGATAACAGTGTTTAATTTTTAATTTTTTTTTTTTTAACTTTTATTGCTCCTTTCGTTTCATTTTTGCAATTTAAATTGAATTTATACAATTCTTTGTGATGCTTCTATTTCTGCAATCTTAATATCCGTGGATATGTCAACATGCTCCAAATTCCTGGTTTTGTGTTTTTTGAATTGTTTTATTTTTTCTGATGTTGCTTGAATTTCACTAGGAAGAATGAGTCGATCAAGCAGAACCCTTTATGTTGGCAACCTTCCCGGTGACATTCGTGAGAGGGAAGTGGAAGATTTGTTTTACAAGGTAATTTATATGAATTTGGATTTGAATTTCATTTCTTATTTCTTCCACCCTCTTGTTCTTCCATGTTGATTTTTACTAAAGATTATATGATTGTAATTTCATTTGCATTATTTTAATTGTCTTGTTCTTGAGGTAATTCGATTTTACTTAATCCACTGGTGCATTGGTGCGTGTGGGTGTGTCCTATTGTTTTGGTCATGGATTTAGTAAGTTGGAAGCATGCTGATGGATAATTAGATGAAAAGGTCCTTTTTTTGTGCATTTTTCTGTTTTGACATAAAGGGTATGGAAGTGTATAAGTTGAAAGATTTTTGCTGAACACCACTATAGCTCCCGAGACTAAGTTATTTCCTCTGGTAAATAACATATGAGCCAGTAAGGTAATAATTTATCACTCAATATCCTAACTCCTAAAGCTATTGCACGAAGTCTGGCAAAATCCACATCCCTGGATGTTCCGTGTTGAAGAATATGCTTGCCTCAGGGATGAATGATGACAAAAATTGTGATGGAGAATATAATTTTTAGAAGCCTTCTTAACATGCCTCTAGTAGGGAGAGTTGATTTAGGAAAAGAGCAAGGAAGAAAAGGAGATGTCACCGATGAAAATGTTGGTGAGCGTGTTCAGTCTGAGCACATGCATGCATGTTTTCTGAGTTTTACATGAATTAGATGAGTTAGGTAAACAGGTACAACCTCTTCTTATGTACATGCATTCAATAATTTTATACAAATGGCAAAATTTAATTCAAAGTGGAGTTATTGACAAACTTGAAATTGAGATGAACCCCTTCTCTTCCTTGACTAAGGGATATTAAGCCACCAAAAAGTGCACGCTTATCTGATTATAGGAGTCTAATTAGTCCATTCATAAGATTGATTTCTATGGTTTCTAATGGGTTTGAATGTGAACTTTATTTTACCTATAGTTTTCCAAGGCTTATACTGTATTTGGGGTTCTTATTGCAGTATGGACCAATTGCTCATATTGATCTGAAAATTCCACCTAGGCCTCCTGGCTATGCTTTTGTTGAGGTGAGTCTGATCTCTTTCAAGAAATCTATCTTCATACGTGTGTGTTTTGATCTATCATAGTTCTCACAACAGTTTGAAGAGGCTCGTGATGCTGAAGATGCTATTCGTGGGCGTGATGGTTATGATTTTGATGGACACCGGCTGCGGGTTAGTTTTTATTCCATTGTTTCTTTTCCACTAGTACTCATCGATTACTTAAATTTGCTTCTGCTTTGAATCTACTCAGGTGGAGCTTGCGCATGGTGGGCGTGGTAACTCATCATCAACTGATCGTTACAATAGCAATAGCGGTAGTCGAGGTCCTCGTGGTGGAGTGTCTAGGCGCTCTGAGTATAGAGGTGGGTATATCATTTCATAAAGTGACTGTTGACGGTTAAAATTACTATAATAAACACATCTTTTGTGTATGCATCACTTGACCTTGTTCTTCAGTGTTAGTCACTGGATTGCCCAATTCTGCTTCTTGGCAAGATCTGAAGGTAAGTCTTAGTTCGTCACTTATCTTGAGACATGTACACTGCTAGCTTTATGATGTCAGGCTTTTTGAATTTGGTATCACATGTTTCTTATTTAGGATCACATGCGTCGAGCAGGGGATGTGTGCTTCTCCCAAGTTTTCCATGAGGGTAGTGGTAAGATGATTCAGTGAACTTTTTCTGCAATTACGATTCATTTTAATATTTCAGCTGGTGGAGGATTTGGACAACACCAACGTTTATTTATTTATCTTGTATTTTTGGGGTGGGTGGACATGAAGGTGTTATGGAGGCAAGAGGAGATGTTAAGTCGGTGGGCCAGGCTCAAAAAGAATCGTTTGTATTCTATTTGCCTGCATACAGCACTGTAGGCGATTCGAATTTCGAAGCAATATGACATGATTCGAATGTGAACTATATTTGGGTTTTGTTATTGTAAATATTCTTTATGACTATGACTTGGACCCACTGGTATTATATTACCTATTTTGGATAAGCATCATGGAGCTTTTACTACTGTTGGCGACCCTATGTTTTTTTTGGCTTTATTTTGACTAACACGCAACATTTCTTCTTATAGTGTGCGCCATTGGCCATTTTGGGATATTTGTGTCATTTGCATATCAAACACGTGAATAGAAGACCTGTGTCTGAGATCCTATTTCAGTTGTTCTTACTATTGAAATTAAGACCAAGTTAATCTATTTATACTTGGCATCTTGAAGTCTGCTTTAAACTGCTTGATGAGTTTTCGGAGATAACTAACAGTGTAGGATGAGACTGTTCGTTAAGATGTGGGTTTTTGGTGTTTGTAGATCTTTCCGAGGCCTTCTGATTGTATTGCTGAAATATTCTTATGAGATTTATTTCTCCAGTTTAGTGGCAGTTTTATCAATCATGTTTGCGTGCAACTTTTAAGTGAGTTTATAAGCATGAGAGAGAAATGCGAGAGAATACTTTTCCTCCCTCATAAGTTGCACCCAGACATTCTCTAGGCCTCTTGCTGCTGGGGGAAACATTCTTGGTGTTGCTATATCACAGTAATGCACTGGCTTGTTATATTGTGGTTTGCCCTGTGCTTCTGCATTGGAGAATTTGCTATATACTAACCTAGTGACCTGTCTTCTTCGTCTATATTCAGTAGCAAGCAACTCAGAGGATTTTATCGCAATTCACAGGCATTGTTCTTTTTGGTTCCTTTGATCCAGCTGGAAGCCTATATGGCTTAGTTCCATTTTTAAAATAGGCTAATTATCAAGAAAATAGTTGTTGCTATTTCAACTGACACCTATGTTCATACTGATTACAGATTGTACTGTGTTTAACTGCTAAATTTTGATCTCACTTGTTTATAATGTTAGGCATTATAAGTTTCTAAAAGTTCAAAACTATGGTGACTGAAGCTCCTTTGACTATACTGGTGAATATTCTTGCTTCCAATGGCAACAATCCTAGTTCCTTATTAAATATGGAATTGATCAATCACTAAATCAATCTGTTTTCTCCATCCACTCGGAGTTCTGTTTCCATGTATTATAATTTCGTGTAGCTTATCATGTACTTCTTTAATCATCTTCTGTTTATGTTCTTTTAAATTTTCTTTTTGTTATAATTAGGCTGAAGGTCAGAACCATTACGTTTACAGTCTTGTGTTTAAGTTTGTTACTTTTTTGTCTGTTCTGAGCAGCCTTGAAGTTAGCATTGGTTTATTTGAGCTGTTATGGATATTTTATTTTATATTTTTTTTGGTTGAGCATTCTTTAAGCATCTGTTACTTTTGGTTTAGCAGGAAAGACGGGGATAGTGGACTATACAAATTATGATGACATGAAATATGCCGTAAGTTATCTTTTGTTTTTTCTTCCAATGTTTATTGTTCTAAATGACTAATTCTTGTTTGTTCTTATGTGTGATTGTATATCTGGAACATCTATCACTTGACTGCTACATGGAACCTTTTTTCCATAATTACAGATAAAGAAGCTCGATGATTCTGAGTTTCGAAATGCTTTCTCCCGATCCGTAGTTCGGGTATGCTTCAAAATGTTTAATTTTATGCCCTGGTACATCTAAAATGCTTTCTTAATGTGCATGCTCTATGTATGCCCTTTCATTGACGACAGGTGAAGGAATATGATGGAAGCCGTTCCAGAAGTCGCAGCCGTAGCCGTTCTCGCTCAAGAGGAAGAAGCAATGGTCGCAGCCAGAGCCGAAGTCGAAGCAGGAGCAAAAGGTTTGATAATGTTATAATAAGAAATCATTGTTGTTGTCTTTGGTTTTGTTGGTTTTAATAATATATTTATAAACTTCATCAATATCCTAGCAGCAAGTCACCCAAGGGAAAATCTTCACGCCGTTCAAGGTCTCTGTCTTCTCGGTCTCGCTCTGGGTCGAAAGCACGCTCTCTATCTAGGTAACCATCTTCGTTGAATTCATCACTTGTTGTCTGAAGGATTTACTTACATCAGAGTGCTTCTTTATTGGTCATTGACCTTTCCTCCTCCTTTATGTCCAATGCCTTGGATTCTTCGTGCTGAATGTTCTAATTTTTTATGAGTTGATTTTTAATCTCTTTTTTAGGTCTATTTTTTCATTATTCTGTTTTTTTGTGTCATATCAAAACTGATTTGTACTTTTATCGTTTAAATTACTTTCATCATCTTAAAGAGAAATGACCGTATTTTACATCATGGCTTAGATGAATAAGCCAAGTTTCATTGGTGGATAATTTGTCCAACATGCATTTTTGGTGGGATGTTTTGTTTTGTCGAGTTGGTGTGTGTTCCATGAACTTTTGGAGCTCAAATATGTGTTACGGGCCCCTTTTCTTCTATTCAGCACTTTGAATATCCTGAACCCAAAAATTTCAGCTTTTTGATTCACCATTGATGCTTAGTTTTTCAAGACTTCCAGCTTCACAGCCATCAGATCCTGCCCATCTTTTGAACATAGTTCCAACGCAGTTCCTTACATGGTACCACTGGTCGGTATCATCACATCCAGTGGGTTAGTCAAGTTTCTGCAAATTTGTTGGATCGGAGTTGGAGGTGCCTATGAACTGAGCTGATGGAGGGTTGGGCTTGTCTTGAGCTCGGAATGTTTCATGAGCGTACAAAGTGCCAACTTCAGCTGAGCTCAGCTTTTCTGCATGTTCATGAGTCCAATGTGAAAAATAATAGAATTAATATGATAAGTTCAGGCTTGCAAGGGACACGCTGGTCCCGGGTCCTTGGTGAGTGTCATGAAAACTGGAACTGTCCATTTTGCACCTCTAGATGATCTTTTAGATCTGAAATCGATTCCTCATATCACCAGCACATATAAATGTTTAAATTTCGGTTTATTTAGAGACCACGCCTTTACAATCATGTCTAAATGGCTAAAAGGAATTGATTTATTCATTGGTCTGTCTCCACAAAAAGGTGCATGTACTACTTTTGAGTTCTTATAAACAAAGAGCTGAACAAATGCTTGTAGCTTTGATATTTTTCAGCAGGCCTTTCCCAGTGACAGAAATGTCGGAGCTTTTCCGGAAGCTGAGCATATCTTAAATCATGAATACCGTTAGTTATTTGTAGTTGAAGACTCCCCTCATCTAGCCCCTCTCTCTGATTCTTTTCCTCCAGTGTTTCACTCTTGGATTGTGCTTGAAGTGTGACATTGAGAAAATGTATCATCAAGGAATCATCATTTTCATTCTTTTCTTTTCAAATTGGAATCACCTTCTTTGTTTTTTAGATATGGCTTGTATGCGCAATTTGGGGATTGCACATTAGGATCTTCGTGGGATATGGTTCAATTGCCTACATATCTTTTATTAGTGGAGGTATGATGTTTTATCGATGGCAGCTTTCGAATCCTTCTTGGTGTCTGTGTTCTAATGAGCATCGCAAATGTCCATGGGTGCTAGATTGGAAACAAAGAAGATACTGGATTGCGAGTAAAGCTGGACTGTGAATTGCCCTTTGAACATGGAAACACCCTCTATTTGCAGTGGGAACATTTTCATTGTCGCCAATGCTGTTAAGCTACCAAAGCATACTATCGAAGTTCTTTATTGGTTCTTTTGGCTTCTTGATCGGTCTTTTAAAGAACGTTTGTTAGCTTTATATTTGAGGTTCTGTTTCTTTCTTAATTAGATTCCTTCTTTAGGTGGACATATTTTGCCCCCTATTTTAAGTTTTCCCCCCACAAATTGCTAAAATATTTGCAAGTTTCCTCTTATGCATTTTGGTCATGGTGACACTGACGTGGATGTGGCATCAAGGCTCATGGAGCAAAGTTGTTAAGAGGCACAAGTGGATATTAAATTGGGTTGTTTCTGGAACTTTTGCAGATCTCCATCAAGATCCAGGTCCCCATCTCCATCTGTAAGTTCAAATTTTTAGTGGTTAAATACTTCCTACATGTTATCTCATTGACTGGTGCTCCGTTCTCTTTCTGATTTCTGTTGATGTGTTGACAACTCTCAAGTGCATGAACAAAATTTTAGCTTCCTTTTCTTTTTTAATACTATCTAGTGCTATTTAATCTTTGAACTGGAGTCAAGTATGGTTCTGCTTCTGTGCTTTTTATGTTGCCACTTTGTTTCGATTTTGCCGAATTTCAGCGCCAGAAACGGGCAGGTAAAAGTCCACCTAGGCGCAGTGCTAGCAGAAGCCGTAGCCAAAGCAAGAGTCTCAGCCGAAGTAGAAGCAGGAGTCTCTCTAGGTTTTATTTATTCTAAATCACACCATATGATGGAAGTGATTCTGTTTTTTCTTGGTCTAAGGGGATTTTGTTTTCTCTATGTTTTAAACAGGTAAGAAATGGCTGTAGATTGATATGAAGAATTCAGAAGTTCTGCATAAGTATCATCTTTCCTATCTAGGTTTTCCTGTGAGTCGGCTACATGTTATAAGCAGATTGGAACCATCATGTGTGTGTTATGTTTCGTGGACAAATTTTTGGAATTCGAGATGCACTATCGCTGTCTCTGGCCTTGGTTTGCTGCATGTATGATTTGTATTTCATGCATATCTTATGAAGGATTTAAAAATATTTCAAATTTCAATACTGTAGTTATTATTTGTCGAGCTGTATTGGTTTTTCAGCAATATTGTCCGTTGCAGTTGTTACCCTCGTGACTTTAGAGCTTGCAGATTGTTATGTTGTTATGCTGTGCTCCTGCTCATGAAATCTATTAAACTGCGGCAGGCTACTTTCCGTAGTAACTGTTCAAAGCATCCCTCATCTGGTGCTATAATTCCAGGCATTGCCTTACCCTATGCCCTTTTAGGCCTTGCTTGGACTTCAGATCAGTACCCCTTGTGTTTTGACAGCGTACTTGTGCATATTTCAATGACTAAATCTTCAGTGGAGCGGGCGCACCACGCCGAGGTGCCACCTCGGTGGGTGGCCCACACACCTCGAGAGTGTGTGATGGGCCAACCACCTTGAGGTGTGTAGGCCAACCGTCGAGGTGGCGCACCTTGATAGGGTGTTGCGACTGTCCTACTGATGTTTGTCTCTATTTCAATGGCTACTAATTCATTTTTGTCGTTTGCTCATGAATTGGCACTTCCATGTGGGTGGGCAGCAAGGGCTGTCAACCAATAATTACATATTAGAGTTTTACTTTTAGAGTTTTTACTGAATCCCTACCGACTACTGTGGGACCCACCTGTATAAAAGAATACCCAAAAAATACCCACCCCCATGTTTGTGAGTAGTTGGTGAACACCTACCTGGCACCCCAGCAAGATTCTTACTTTTACTGGACTTAGAACTTCTGTTATAATCTGGTAATTTTGTCCTTGTTTGTCAGTTTGAAAATATAAAAATGCTGATTGGAGAGCTTAATTGGCAAATAACAAATTGCCATCTCGTCTTTTCCCGTTAGTTAAACAATTCAGACGGATTGGCCATCTAATCGTACGTAAGTTTAAGTTCAATAAGCAATCTGAGAAAAAAATGAAATTTTAGGTTGGGGCCTTCGGTGTATTTTACGAAGGGAGCTAAATAAGCTACAACGTTAACATTTATTGCTACAATGGTCTTTTGGCACTTAATTTGTACTAAAAAAACAATTAGGCGGGCTAAACAACGTTAAACAATGAAGAATGTTGTGTGGAATTAATTTGATTCGAAAGGATAAAATTAGGATGGCATTCCTTTAAGGGAGGTGGTAAAGCGATTCTTGGTGTTCAAAATATGTAGCATGTACGCTACTTTTTACTTTTATATAGAATAATACTATTTGCAGTTGTTCACTGCGGTAATCGTTTTACGTGGCATATACATGATAGGTGGTTTATTTGATGCATTAATGAATAAAAAATTTCCACATTAATGCATCAAATAATTACCTGTCATGTGTATGTCACGTAGGATAACTGTCGCAGTGAGCGACTGCAAATAGCTTTACTTTTTTATATATGGATTTGTCTTCTTAAACAAGCCCTTGTCCACGTCGGCCCCTCATTGGCCGATTGTCTGATGACATGTTGAAAAAGCATAACCCTTTATATATAGGACACATAATCATTAACTTTTGCCTAGAAAGGGAATTCACTTACAGATAGGGTTGGGCAAATTTTCTGAACCGAACCGACTGAATCGAACTCGAACCGAACTAAATTGAATTCGACGATTCTTGTCAAATTAAATACCCGAACGGGTATCTGAATTGAGAATCGACGGGTACTGTTCGGTTCTAGACTAAGAATCGAAAAATCGAATCTTTCTAATTTTTTTTATATTGAGTAAATCAAATTATTTTAATTTTAATTTTAATTTTTTTAAACAAATTGACAAATTAACAATTTCTAAATTCAAATTTTTGGCCCAATAATTTGTTTCATTTCTAATTTTTTTAATTTTTGGCCCAATTATCTATTTTATTGTTTCATTTCTTAGCCCAACAAGATCCAATCCACTAAATAACCCTAAACGCCTAAACTAAAGTGCATAATGTTGTCTCAACTCTTGCACTCACTCTCGCAGCCTCACTAACATTCCAAAACATATACAATCGTCAACCGATGCTATGACCTCCGATCGAAGCTGTGACCTCCGCCGACCGAAACTTTGATAGTAGCGATCATTTGAACAAAGTAGTCTACTAGTCTCTGACATTCCAAAACCATTGAATATATCATTAGTTGTATTTATATAATGTTATTATAAATGTTAAAAAATTTAATTATAGTACAGAACCGAACGGAATTGAATTGAACCGAATGGAATCGAACCCGAACGGTTCCATAATTATATTTGGACCCAACGATTTCATTTACTAGATACTCGAAAATTTTGGTTCGGTTCGATTTTCTTTAGAACCGAATCGACCCACGCCCACCCCTACTTATAAATAGGAATGGGCCCATGCAAGATAAGTATTTCGAGAAACGGGAGGTAGTTAACCCTGTCAATGGATGCAATATCATTCAATAAAATAATATTACATGCAAAGAGAAAAATTTTCATCATTTTTTAATAATAAATTTTTCATCAATTTACTATTCCAAAATGTATTCTTTGAAAATAATGTAGCTCAAACACATACTTAGCCAATTGAATTGCAACGTTGCAAGCTCTTCAATGTGTTTAGTGGTATAAAAATAAGGAAAATGCTTGGACATCGCTACCAAAAAATTCTCCTTAATGATTTGCGGACAATAATTCCATTCCCCGATGTTGTGATATTATCAAATCTTACTCCATCGAAATGAAATTTTTGAGAGAGAGGTTTCTTTTAAATGCTTGTAGTCTTTCCTTTGTTTAGAAGAGAACGTCCTATTATGAGAGAGAGTTTATTGTTATTTTGTTATCTCTATATTACAAAGACGAAGTTGTAATCATTTTGCTATAGTCCTAACATATGTTCCTTATAAGGGAAATTCGAAGATTTTCCACCGTCATCCAGCCTCTCTGCCATCTCCCAAAAGCCGAAGGCGTCTGTCCTGTCCGGATAAATCATTTTTTGGGAACCTCTTTTCGAAATCTACTATCTTCCCGACACGGGTAAACAGGGAATTCTCTTCTTCTTGTTGGGTACTCGAGAGTGTCCACACCAGCCTGAAAGTTCCATGACGGCTGGAATTTGATCCAGTTGTAGCCGCTCATTATGGGAAACAGCTCTGCCCAACCCATACCTAATTTATATGTACCTGCAAGATTAAATAGGTATGCTATCAGTAACTCTGGAAATGCAAGTGAATAACTCACTTCTGGCAGCTAAAACTTCGTGAGCAACTGGTATTAGTTCTTTTACCAACAGCCCATTTTCAGGAGGGCGTAAACTGATCTCTCAAACCACTTCTCTCTCTTTCTTTACCAATCTAGCTTTACGTTTCACTTCATTAATATCATTTAACACGTCTTTTTATCAGACTTGCTAAGCCTTCTTGGTAGCTCCACATAACCCGAATTCCAGCCGATCATAATGCAGAAGGGTAGTTTTTCAACTCGTTTGTAGCTGAATTTTCCACGTTGCAACATCTTGAAATCATCTGATGGAAGTGAAAGATTGTTCGATCACGTATTGGGAACATTACTGCGATTAGTATTTGTAAAATTGGAAACTGGTTTGAGTTTTATCCGTCAGGGATTTTATCGAACAGTTTGCTTGCATCAAAAAACGTCGCCATGACACATTAAAGTCATCGCTGTGTCAAAATTGGAAATTCTGATTGAGTTTTTATGGAACAGATTGTGTACAAATACAGAGACATGCTGTGTTGAATCAGACCAAGAGCTGGAATGGAATAGTTCCGTACTTTGTTTATCAAGAAAAAAAAGGTGGAAATTGGGTCAAATAGCCACTTTCATAACACATTTTGCAAATATAGCCTTTGACCAGAATTAAAGTTTTAAAATAAATATTTTTAATCAAATTTAACAAATTACCTTAATTATCCATATTCCATCACAGTAAATTTACAATTTCCCTTCTTCCTTACGGACCTGGCCCAAATTGAATGAAACACTGATAACCCTAAATTCTTCTCCTCTCTTGAAGAAGGCGACAATCTCTTTTGAGAACTTCCTCTTGAACGACACTACGCCATACGGTTGCTAACTAGTACTGCCCCCTCGTGAATCGCTACCTCCATTGTCGCGAATCATTGAAAAGTTATTCCCTCGTTCCATTTCCAAGAACCAATAGCCTATTAGACTATCCTCAGGTATGAAATTTTTAGCGATATATAGAGTTATTGGCTGACCAATAATTGTATGGAAAAACCTTGGTATACTAATTTTTAGAAGTTCATGTGTACTTGGGTAAAATTTTGGTATATTGCTATTTACAAGTTGCTTTTCTAAAGCTTTCAATTTCTTGACTGAATGAGGGGTATTATGTCATTCTATAAGAGATTTTTTTTTTTTTTTAATTAAGTAATGCTTCGGACCTAATATACCTTTTGTGAGGTCCCTACTTTGTTAGTATAGAAGTAGGCACCTTTATGTCTAGTTCCATGTCCCTGTTGTTGGTTTATATCCTAATTTCTTAGACATCTAGTTTAATATCCTTGAAAAGTTGATATACTTATACAAATATGCATTGGGTGCACAATCCTAACATTCTTCTTTCTTTTGTGATTTGTATGCCTATGTATATACTTGAATGTTAGAGTCCAACAATCACAATACAAAATCATTCTAGAAAGAAAAGTTTAAATCTTGCATT